ATCACAATCAGCCTCTCATTCATATCACATAATAAAATGTTCACTTTGTCTGGTTTTGTTGCAGTATGCCCCATATAAAATACTGAGACAAAAGCAATACAACTCACCAATTTCAGGATGGTATGACATCTCAAATAATAAAGCTGTAAATATTTACTTCCTTCACCATCAAATTGGAAAAGACTAGAAAAATGAACTGTGAATTGCAATCCATTTTTCTGCTCTTCTGAATAAATACAATCTCATAAAAGTCTGTCAGAAAATTTGTCACTTCATATTGTTCCCTTTGATGCTGTAATATTTTGATTAAGACTGTCAATTGAAGAAGTTTTTGCAAATGCTTCTATTACTTTAATACGTTTAGACTTTTCTAAACCCAATTCCACTTCCAATTTCTCTTCCAACAATTCCACTAAAAATAATTTAGAAATTTTAGAAAGACATTGTGAACAGTATATCCAAACAAACAAATAAATAAATGGAACAAAAAGAATGAAAAAACAAAAATTTTTTTTTTTTTACGCAATTTGTTCATTACCTTTCTCACCAAAGTCAGCTAATTTATTCTGCAACTTCCGCACCTGTTCATCCCAATTGTTCATGTTCTTCTTCAACCTTCTTCTTTTTCCAGCCTAACCAGCTGCCCCTCCTCCCTTTCACTAAGTTCTCCACTTCTCACCTTTCCCTCAACCACATTCCATCATCCTTCCCTTCTTCGAATGTCCTCAAATTCTTTGTCGCCTTATCTAATCTCATCTTTGCATTGTGAGCATGCAATCCGAGTTCCCTATTTAATAGGTTATTTATAGCTCAACACACAGCCTACTTGCTGACTTACGGTTGATTCTATTGTTTGACACACAGCCTACTCGCTGACTTACGGTCAAAGATTAATAATAAAAATAACTTTTATCTTCCTGGATAAAAGGGTCCCTAGGTTCTATGTAAATGATTATATCCCAAAGGCGTCCCCTTGAGATGTATCTGAATAATTAAAAGGGTTCCCAACTAATAATTAAAGGTTGGCCAGACCATTAACCATTAGAAGGGCTGGGGGTCAACCACACTGGGTTTATTAGTTACTTACAGTCAAAGACTATTTTATGTAAGGTTATATGTTTAATAAGGGTTATTATTATGTTGTTATCAAGGTTGTTATCAACAATATTAACAATTGATTTATTAATTATTCTTCTTAGCTTGGTCTAAAGCCAAGTGTATTTATACCTCTTGGGGCAGTACAAATAATGTGATATGTGCTACCCTACTCTCCAATAATATGCTATCAAACTAGTTACTAATTCTAAATAAGTATTTACATCATATGGGTAGGTTAATAAATATAAATATTGAAATATGAATAGGAATAATCTTCCATAATAATAATAATATTTAGCGCATCACATGACCTCTGTAGTAAATTTGTTCTAATTGGTCAATATTAACTGAGTAATTGATAGGTCCAAGGTTTACTATCTCACAACAGGAATTTGAAACTTTGGCTCGGGAATTACAAGATAAAACTTGTGAACCAATAATTCTAGCAACATTTGACCATCAGTCCCAGCAACCTGGATAAATGGAATTCTAATTATGTTGACCTGTTAATCATTTAAATTTAAACTAAGTAATCCATTAAGTATTGTCTGGTTTATTCTTGATGATTTGCAATAATCTGAAATAACTTTTGTTGGAAAAGAATATACTGCAAATTCCCGTTCACCAAGATTTGTACCCAAAGGAGATATAAACCTAACATCACACCTACAACTTTTAATATGTTTAGATGATACACTTGTAGGACAGAAAGATTCACCCCTTTATACTGTGAGTTCAAAATCCATGTCTCGCACAAATCTATTGATTTGGTTAAAATATTATTTATCCCTTCTTATGGCAGTATCCAATTATTTAATTCTTTGATTACTTTCTTTCACTATAGCGCTCAAGCTATTTAATTATTTACAG